CCAGTCAGTCCCCATGTGCATTTCACCAGATGGTCACCTATTATTTTAGACTTTGTTGTTCAAAATAGTTTGAGAAACACTGGCTTAGACAAAATCGAGCAGGTTACTTTGAAGATGTCTTCTTTGAATCTTGATATAATAAAAAATATACTATGAAATGCTATTTATTTGGCTGGAGAACCTTTTATATGTTGCATATGACATAATTTAGGACACATGCTCTAAATTGATCAGTGCTGATCTTGTGTTGAAATTAAAAAGAATGTTAGTGCTTTACCAACAAAACCTGTGTGCTGAAATCAATGTCCTAAGAAAGTCAGGCCAAAGATGAGTCTGATCCATCCAGGGGTAGGGCATCAACTGAAAATACAGAACAAGAAGACTGTGGGACTAAGGGCTAGCTTTTCCTGTTAAAGTGAATATGTGGAGTGAGGTGTACAGCTATATGAAATGGTTTTCCAGCCAACTCCACACAACAGAAAACAGGAAAGAAATTATTGAACAGGCAAGATTTGATGGATCCAGTATAAGGTGTTGTCAGGGAACCAGGTTGCTTACAGTCTCACATAATCATGACTATCTGTCTATCTGCCCAGTTACCTCCGAGGTTCTCACTGCGTTTTGTTTCCTTTAGCCACAATAGCGACCATTCCAATCACCTGAATTCGTTTAATTTACAATCATTACTGTATCTCAGAACAAAAAAAGACTGCCATATGGATATAGCTGCCTGATCCTGACTGAAAACTGTTCTCCTGGCCTCTCTGGACACATCTTCACATGATTTCTCAAGGTTCTCTAACGTACTGGGTCCCTTCTTTCACTCATTCCTCTCACTCAAACCTAATAGAGGGTCTTTGGCGTTTGGAGCAACCTGTCAGATACATCCTTGCTGAATTCATCTACTTGCCTGATTTTAGCTATGATTGTTTATGGATTACTTTAAAATTTGTATTCCCAGTCCAGACCCCATCTTCTGAGACCCAGATCCATTTGTAGGTCTTCTAGAGTCTTTCTTGAGGTGTAGTAAAGCCCCTGAGCTCAGTATTTCTAAAGTCACTTTATTGTGCTGGATCTCCTCAATCTCCTTGAATGGCCTCACCATCCAGTCACACCTTAGACATAAATCTCAGAATCACTTGAATTGTCTTTCTGCACCTTTGATGAATAGAATTCTAAGAACAATCACCTCAATGATGCTTATCTTTGCATAATTCCCTTTCCTCCAATTATTATAGTGAAATGTCATCATTTTGTGTTACTTGGCAAAAGATTTTACAGTGTTATTAAGGTTACTAATTAGTTGATATTGCATTAATCAAAGGGGAAATATCGGGATAGAAATGAATGAAATAAAAATATAAAAATACTAAGAACCAGTGAAATAAAGTACTGGACAAACCCTTAGGCAAAGTAACAAAAAAGAAAAAGAGTGAAGAACCAAATTAATAAAATCACAAAAGAATGTGGAGACATTACAACAGATAATAATGAAATCTAGAAAATCATTAGGTCATATCTTTTTTAGAAAACTAACAGAAATGGGTGGTTTTCTACCTGCGTGTAAACTACCAAAATTGAACCAAGATGAGATAATCAATTTAAACAGATCTATAAGGATCAACAAAATCGAAGCAGCAAAAAAGAAATCAATTTATGGGGCCTCGGATAGTAGATCAGTATTTATCCCTGACACACAACTGGACTTTGGGAGCCCGTTCCATATGAAGGGATGCTCTCTCAGCCTGGACGCATGGGGGAGGGCCTAGGCCCTGCCTGGGATGATATAACAGTCTTTGAAAATCCAGCCCCCATGGAAGGCCTTGCCCTCCCTGTGGAGCAGAGGGGAGATGGAGTGGGGGATTGGGGAGATTTGGGGGGAGGGAGAGAAGAGGAGAGAGAGGGATCTGGGCGTAACATATGTAAAAAGTAGAATAAAAAATTATTATAAAAAAGTCCAGACCCACACCTTGGTACACTAGACCTTTAAAAAAGAACACCAAGGCTTCGGAAACTTATACATACATATGAAAAGGAATAAATGGTGTAAATATTTTTATAAAGCAAGTATTACCCTCATACCAAAACCAGATAAAGATACAGCAAAAAAGCAAACTGTAAGCTAATGTCCTTGGTGGAGATAGCTGTAAACATTCTGCTTTTTCTTCTCAGCAGTGGTACTGGAAAATCAGATATTTGTGAAAAAAAGAGGGCGAGGCTGTGGGGGATGCATGTGATTGAACTGCAAAGTCATACAGACACAAAATTGTTATTATGAAACACTTTGTTGCACAGCAAATAGTAACGCCAATAAATGTTTAAAAATATAACAAATACTGAAGGCATATGGGATGTTAACCACCCACATGAATCAATCATCCTTATCTAGCATTGTGGTACTGTGGTGCTACCATATTTCTAATAGCCTGCCCATTCTCTTGCTTTTCGTTGTGAATCTTATATTTTCTATCCCTTATATCATCTACATTTGGGAAGAAAGTGAAGACAAAAATTACAAGTTAGAAAATCTCCTTTTATCATGGCACTTTAGGTAGCAAGAATGATCTTAGTATAGGATTGGTGAAAATACCTTTTAGAGACCATCTTATTGAACATCAGATTAAGGTGGTGCACTCAGAAGGCAGAGGCAGGAGGCTTTCTGAGAGTTCAAGGCCACCTCAACCTCCAGGACTACATAGAGAGATAGTCTCACACACACACCCCCCCCACACACAGGAAAATGAAAACCTGAGGCTCAGAAAAGTGACATAATTGGCCTCACACCACATAGTGACTAAAAACTTAAAAGCTTGAATTGGAGTCTTTGAATTGCTGTCTAGGCTTCTTTCCAGTTGATGAATGTCAGAAAGTAATTGTCACTATGGGAGATTAGAATACAAATCCCAATCTTTTGATTGAAGTAACAAATTCCTGTCTCTATCTTTGTCCATTGAGCATCATTTTTGTTTCTGTACTTAGTCACCATTATCATATTCTGGTATGATATTGTAGGATATTTTGTAGCATCTTCCCAAAAGAAATTGTAACTGATGCTTGAAGACATTGGAGAGGACTTTCCACTCATTGGACAGAAGCTTCCTTATTTAAGATTTGTACTTTACCTTTTACATGTTATCAGGAGCAGTCAAGAATGCCAAGGGATGATCCATCTTCACACAATATTGGAAACCCATACTAAGAATCATAGAGGTAAAGTAGACGAAGAGCACTAATGCTTATTAAGAGATATGTGAATACCAATAAATTGATTTGATAATGAACTGACTGCAAATATAGAGGGTTAAGCTTTGTTTTTAATAGTCTATGAATACTTGTGGTGTGTGTGTAAATGTTTGTGCATGCTTGTGATTTGTGTGTGTATGTGTGAATGCTTGTTAGGATATGTGTTTGTTTATATGTGTATGAATGTTTGGTGTGTGTGTGTATATATATATATACTTATAGTATGTTGGGTCGGTGGGTGAATGCTTATAGTGAGTGTACATGTGTGCATGTGAATGCTGTGGTGAGTGTGTGTGAGTGTGTGTGTGTGTGTGTGTGTGTGTATGTATGGCGCATGTGCCCGTGTGTGTGTAAAGGACAGAAGGAGACAATGGGTATCTTGCTCTACCACTCTCTGCCTATTCCCTAGGGACAGGGTCTCGCGGTGAACCTGGACTATAACCCATGGATCTAGACATCTTGGAACATGAAATGATGAGAAGGAAAAAGAAGACACAAATTTATCAAAATTACCAAGTGCAGAGAATATAAGTGACTTTTCTTGAAACTTGAAATCCTGAAATACTGGTAATTATGGGGAAAGGCATACTTCTGCACTTAAATACCCATCAGTCATTTTTATGTATAGAAGTCTACATTTTAGAAACTCTGTAACTGTTCAGTTATGAAAGATATTTTAAGAGGTATAGACTGATAATAATCCACATTTGTCTTCTAGATGGGTAACTGAAATGACCTTTTGAACCAATAGAACTAACCACTGTTACAGCTCTCTTGAAACATTTTGTTACATATTTACAGATCTCTATGCTCAAGAGAATGGAGCATCTGTCTTAGGGTGACGCCTGGCTGCATTCTTTTCCAGATACTAATATAGGTGGCACTTCAGTAGTATAACCAATGACATGAAGAACCTGATTTGGAGGGGAACAGATGGTAGCATCTTTCTTGGGCTAATTTTAGAATCCTGAAATAGTTCCTTTCTCACACAAGCCATCCATGGAACCAAATTATAAAAGCTATGTCACATGGAAAGGGAAGAGAAACATATATCTTAGTGTAAGGCAAAGGATGCAGCAAAAGTTTCAGCGGTCTCCTCTTGCTTGCCTCCTCCCATATAAATATAACAGTCACTTCAATTTCCTTCCATCCAAATGGATGCAAAACACCAACTTGGGAGTATCTTTAAAAATGAGTGGGACAAACCATATATATAAAATGATCAAGGTTGCATCATGATTCTATATATGTGCACATATGTATATATATGCATACATATGCTTGTAAAACCTAGTTTTGAAAGCATTTTTTAGTGAGTAAAGATCTGTAGGATAACTGACCATTATGCCTGATAAATCAAAAGTAAAATGAATTTCAAAGCAACCAATTTCTAGTTCATTGCTTTGTCTGTTGAGAACTTTCTCCCAAATGAGATAAAGAGTATCAGTTAAGGATAAAGGGATATGGAGGGAGAGACCCTCAACCATGAATAATGGTTTAGGTATAAAATGAGCATCTAAAACAGTGGTTCTCAACCTTCCTAATGCTGTTTTAATACAGTTCCTCTTGCTGTGGTGACCACCAACTACAAAATTATTTTCATTTATCTTACAACTGTAATTTTGCTACTGTTATGAATAGTAATGTAAATATCTGTGTTTTCCAATGGTCTTAGGTGACCCCTGTGGCCCACAGGTTGAGAACCACTGATCTACAGCGTTGTGGAAATGAGACAAGTACTCTGTATAGGCACTGACCTGCTTTCCATCAAGGGTATAGAGTTTTTTGACAACTCCCGTTTCCAGCTTGATCGCTTCTGTGATATCGGTGAGGACCTGCTCGAAAGAGTGGGCTGTTTTCTTGTTGAGAAGCACACGCACTGCCTTCCGAGGTTTCACGCCACTGCGAATGATGGTCACAAGTTTGGGGCGCACAAAGTCCTTGTTCTCTCTGGCTTGAGCACTGTTGCTACTCGCCAAGGACTGGGGAGCTTTCATGTTGGCAGATGTTTTTACATTGACAGACCAGTTGGGATTGACATTCTTGGTGTATTCAACCTTTTTAAAGAAATTGTCTGAAGAACAGACATAGCTTTCCCCTAAAGGGAAGAAAGAAATGGTTACTTGATTAGTCCCGCAGTAGATGTGCAGATGCAAAACAAGCTGCTATGCATTCACACTGAAATAAGACGTTAGGTGAAATGTTTGAGAAAATAACCAATCTTATGTCCAGTTTCTAAATGGACCCTCTGACAATTTTATTTACTCAAATTCAAGAGTAATCAGCTAAACATTCTTCATTGGAATGGCATAGTTAGTTGAAGAACCTTGTAAATATAAGGTCATTAAAGCAGCAAACAGTTGAATGTACAGTTTAATAAGTGGAGTTTGCACAATCAACATGATGCTATTGGAATGTAAATGCTTTTCACTTTCAATGGTGTTCATTAACTTCCACATACCACTGTTTAACTTGTTTCTATATCCTGGTGTTCCTATGCTAGTTTTGCACTCATAGTCTCATCCTTTTGCTGTATTATAAGCCAAGGACAACTTCTGAAGCTAATTTGTTTTTATTTCAAATTGAACTGAATCAAACAACCTTACATATCAGACATTCGCTTGGTCAAAAGCAAAGCAAAATGATCCTTTGCACTGATTATTGGGCTAAATGGTAGAATTATTGAAATATTATGTGTGTGCACATAAGTTTAATATCTAAATGTGTGTATAAGTGTGTTGTCTACTGCTTATCCCTCTCCAAATGAAGCAAGTATCTATATGAGCTACACACACGCACACACGCGCATGGGTGCACACACACACACACATAGAGAGAGAGAGAGAGAGAGAACATTCTTAGTGTTTTCAAGTCTAGCTCTTCCTTAGAAAATGTTTTTCTATTTCTACTACTCCCTTGCATCTTTCTCCATCCTCCTAAATATTGCACATTGCATCTGTGTGTTTGATGCCATCTCCATCAGTTGCTTTTGGCTGCTACAGTAATGAGTGGGAGAGTGCATTATGTAGCCGGATTGAATTGAAAAAGGTCTAGTATGAGTTTTGCATTCACTGTTGGCTGGTGGAAATGACTAGTACAGTGGGAAAAATGCAGTGGCCTGAGGCAAGAGGAGGGCGTTACACACCTGAAACTAGAAACTAAATAAAATTAGGAGAGAGTTAGGTTCCGCCTGAAGAAGTATATATTTTTTTTAAAGCTGAAATTGCTAAGCAAAGCACATTAGCCTCAAGGTCTACAGAAGTTCATCCAGAGGTTGAACTGCAGAAACACTGATTTTTATCAGGCTATAAGTCATCAGTAATACAGTTAATACATAGACAAATACATAATCCTTAGCCAGTGCAAGAAAAAAAAGAATTAAACACAATTAAAGTCAGATAGCTCTTCTATTTCCTTTGGTCTCAGTAGGAAAACTACTCAAAGACATTCAGAAATGCCAGGCTGACAATTTGTTCCTTTTGCAAATATTGATCACACCAAATCCTTTAAGTCATGTGAATTAATACATTTCTCAGTTCTAAGCTTCAGTGGCAATCTCTAGGGTAGTTTGAGGGGATGAGTATGTGTGTGTAGGGGGATGGTAGCACACAAGGATGCTTAATCTCACTTATGGTCTGTTACAGTAGGGAAACCAAGAGATGGATTACAGGCCATCATAGGCACTAACCCTACTTGGTGCACATGTGTTCAGTAGGGATGGGAATTGAGTTTGCAAGCTAAGAGCCTCTGATTTTGTTGGCCTCATGGCAAGCAAATCCAACACAACCCCAGTGTTCAGAGACTAGGACCTATAAAGTGTGACACAAGGAAAAAGGGGCCCATTCATTTCCTCTGTATATTTGTAGCCAACATCCTTCCCACCATATACATTAGAAATGGCCCCTCGCCTCTGTACTTCATCATTTTCATGGGCGTCTTCCAAGAGGTCACTGCCTTTGAGTCAGATGTTTTCCATTACTTGCCATACACTTTCAAACTCTGTCAGACAACTGGTGGAGTGGAAACATCCAGGGCTTTATATTTTTGATCTCACTCATCCACATGCTCTTCTGAAGAGTCAGCTGTGTAGCCCTATTAGGGCTCTGAGCTTTTTGTTTTCTCCCCTCTTAAACCTCTAAGTCTCTGAACTACAAGTATTATTAACTACCCCCAGATGAAAATGAATATGATGGCAAATAATTAGAGTATCATATGGCACCCGAGAACTTTCCACAGCGCTCAGCCCTCAGCCAAATCTATGTTGAGCACCTTCTGAGGGTACATTTTAAGCACTCCACTCTCTACTTTTGGCCTGGATACGTAGCAGTGGAAAAAGAACAGCTGGTATGATGTCAGTCAGATTGCGATCCCTAACACTTTCTAGCTGGGTGACCTTTGGCAAATTACCTGACTTCCTTGGCAGCAGTCTCTTGTCTGCAAGGTGGGGGGGTGCTAATAATAGGCCCTACCTTATAGTGTTGCTGTGGGGCACAAGTCCAGTGAAAGATGACAAGTGCTGAGACTAGAGACTGGGCACAGTAAGCACTTCGTAAGTTCCACTTATTATCATTAAGCCCCTCATGGAAAGGAACAGATAACAAGGAGGAAAATGGAAAGAGGAAGAGGTATAAGCTGAGAGAGGGGGTGTAGGGTGAGGAGGAACCAAAGCTAAAGAGCAAAAATGCATCAAGGTCAGCCACCTCTGACCTGAGCTGTGCTGACTGTATGATGTGAGTATTTCTGGAGTCCTGTGCTTCAAAGATAAAAGTACCTGCTATAGGTAGGGCATGGTGGTACGTTACTGTAATTCCCAACCTCAGGAAACAGGAAAGAGAGGATCTCTGTGAGTTGGAGACAGCCTGCTTTACATAGTGAGTTCCTGACCAAAGAAGGCCTACCTAATGAGACCTTGTCAATATTATTTTTCTAGAAAAGAAGCCTCTTAGAGCTATAAATTACCAATGCACAAGCTTTATAGCTCACACACAGCAAAGACATTGCTGCCTGCTGCAACTGCTGATGCCCACTTAGGGCCAGACATTTATGATGATTAAGAACAGTGATTTAGCTAGGCAAGGTTATGCACATCTATAATCCCAGCACCTTCAAGAGGTAGGAAGGGAAGGAGTTCAAGGTCACTCTCAGCAACATAGCAAGCTTGGGCTACAAGGAGACTGAAAGAAACAACAAAAAGACTAGTGCCTTATAGCAGAGCATGGTGGCCCATTCGTGTAAACCTCAGCAGTCAGGAGGATGAAGAAGACAGATCTTAATTCAAATCCCAACCAGACACTTAGGAGCCGTTTGACCCTGGGCATGTCACTTAATCTCCATAAATCTTGAATTCTTTATCTACAAACTGAAGGCATTTCACTGTGTGATAGCAGTCCCTTGTGCACCTAAAGATGTATAAGAAGGGATTTCTTTTCAATCTCAAACAGGCTGGAGGAAATAGTTATTGCAGTAATCAAATGCAAAAACATAGATGCCCCTTCCCAAGGACCTTCTAGTTCTATTATTGGAAAGACCTAGATGTGTTGCTTTGTTAGACAAGGTTTCCTGGTTCTGATCTTGCAAGTTTCCCAGGTCTACTTTTCAGAGCCTGGTGCTTCCAACACAATTACGTAGCACTTGGAACTGAGTGAGGCATATTACACCTTTCCACATCTGAGTCTCCATCCTGCCACAGTCTCCAGTGGTTAGTTTCCACCCTCTGGGAACCCTGGAAGAAGGCTGTTTCTCAGTCAAGCAAACTGGAATTCACCTGCTACAAGACGAAGGGTGGGGGACATAAAATGGGGACAACCTGTCCCCTTTAAGTCCCTTGTAGCTGTGTTGTCCCCATTTTATACAAAATGATGGAATGAGTATGCTTCTTCACCTCTAGGAAGGCACCATTTTCCAAGGAGTCATATACATTTATAATATCTTAATGTAAAAAAAGACACTTTTCCCTGTACTTTCTATTCTTTTCTGAGGATTCCTAACTCAAGAAAGAAAATGTTGAATGATACTTCATTGCATTATTACATGACTCCTTATATTATCATGCCCACACATGCCCCCTAGTATCCTACAATCACTGCTTTTGATGATGCACTTGCTTTAGTAACAAGGGACTTAGTAAAAAGGTGGCTTCATCTCATTGTGCAGTATGGTAAAGAAGTTGGGTATCACAGTGTCATTATATAGCTCAGATTATCCAAGACTGTCCCACTTTTAAGTATTCTTCGAATGCTCTGCATAATTAATAGTACTCAAACTTGTCTTAATATACAAAAACTAGCTAGTCACAAGTATAAGCCTTAAATCGATGAGTGTACATAAACATGGAAGTGAAGAAAAGATTAGACATGATGGAAATAGACAATGGTTCTCTAATGAAATATAAAGAAAAGACAAACAAAAGGAAATACCACTGATGGATCTCCTTCATTGACCAGCTGGGGACACAGTTAATGAGGGCCACATCCTCTGTGGTTTTGCCAAGACCCTGGTTGTATGCAAGAAGATGTGGGAAGGCTGACATGAAAAATGGGGCTTAGACTGAAATGTTTCCCTTGATGCTTTCCACATCTAGCAGCAGACAATTGACTAGAGTCACCAGACAAAAGGAACACCGGAGGTGCCATAAGGGCAGAGTTATTAGCATTTGATTTTTATTTTATCTAATTTGAGGCTAAACATTTAATATTCTGGTCATTTGGAAACATATTGTGTGATCAACAAAACGAAAAGGAACAGAAATGAGGATTTCTAGAGGTAGGAACTCTCTATCACTGTTGTTAAGGGAAAGGACTCATCAAAATAACCTCATCTAACACTGTCCAAGTTTTAATACACAAAGAATTTTTTAATGAAGAGTGTCAAAACGAGTTCAGAGTCCCTAGACTTGGATGTACCATCTCAGTTGATCTGTAATATGTTCTAGGACCACTGTAGTCCAGGTTGGCCTCAAACTCACTATCCTCCTGCCTTAGACTCTTGATACTAGGCTTAAAAGATGTGAACCACTCAGCCAGACTAAAGCAATTATTTTTAAAGAGAACATTAGTACCATTGATGATAGACAGCCCCATAATCATGTAGCTAACCAGGTACAGATTAGGATAACTCAGGCAGTAATAGCTAACATTTATTGAATATCACTGTGTATAAAGAAGAATAGGAAGCACCTCGTATCATTTCTTAATTGATTCTCAGAACAATTGCTTTCATTCTATAGATCTAAAAACCGATTTCCTCAAGTTTCTACAGGCTAGAAGCTAACCAATCTGAATTTGAAACAAATCTCATTCCTAATATTCATTTTCCATTTAATCTGCTCTAAGATGAGAACCCAATATTCTTTATTCTTCACCAGGAATCTTTCCAAGCATCCTCAGTTTAAATCTTAACTGGAAACGGTGTGCATTAATAATTTTTGCTCTTTTATCCACGTTCTTCTAGAAGTAAACAAAATAAAGGGATTTCTGACCTTTTATCCTAGATAAGAAACTCTGACAAAATGAGAGCAAAGGAAACCCTTTCCAGATCTTCCTCATCCCAGTGCTTTTCCACTTAGCTGTATGTTAGTTGGAAAAATTATCACATTATCAACACTCCCCCCAGAAATACCGCTGGATTTTCTTAACATTTGACTGAAAAAGCATTGGCATCCACTGTTGCTTGGGCTTGTAAGAAGACAAGAAGAGGAAATTTAATTGATCCCTATCCAGATTCTATATACTGTTTGGAAACATATTAGGAAATACTACTGCACCCAGAAGTGGAATATGAGTCCAATTTAGCAGGAACCAGGACAACACAGGTGGGAATAAAACTGTGATCTGTTTTTAAAATTCATAATGATTACCTATACAGATTAAATTGAGATTGTTTATTATCAACATTTTCTCAATACACACACACACACACACACACACAAATGCATGTGGGTGAGGCAAATTTGTAAAACATTGATTGATGGAAAATTGTGCAAAACACTGATATTAAACACATTTTCACTCTTACTCAGAATACTATGTCTAGTTCAGATTCTGACCTAGTATATATTATAGAATGTAAATGTTCATAGATGGTGGATATTAAGAAAAACTGGGAGAATCAATGTGCTTTATTTGTAAAAGATATTACAGAGAAATCCCTCAACTTTGACTAAGGTATAAATTTCATATTAACTGAAGACACACACTTTATTGGTTACTCTGTTGGACAGCTCCCTGGAAAGAGCATCCAGATTTGGAGTTGACCCCCAACTGGCCTCCTTTTATTTTCAGATATGCACTTGAACAATTAACCCTTTGATGACCATGAAAGTCTAGTATCAATGTTTGCCTCCTTTCTCTATATATGATCTAATCATCCTCCTCCATGTGGATTTCAAGATCAGCTATGTAGAAAACCCTAAGATTTGAATCCTGAGATTCAGATGGAACCACTATGTGGATATTGTCTCTTATAAGTTGCTTGCCCAAATCACTTTACATTACTACTTTGAAAACCACAACTACATGAAGGAAATAGAACCTTGCATAAGGGAAGCCTTCATGTCCCTTTGTCTAGAAACGCAGGAAACCTAAACACAGTGAGGCAGAGCTGGGCTACACCTACTAAGTCACCAAATGCACTGTTTCTCTTTCCTTGCTGGTCATTTATAATCTAGATTCCCTAGAGATCTGTTTGCACTAACTCATCTCTGCTCAGAGATTGGGGCCAGTGATGGAGAGAGGGAGGCTGAATAATGTAGGAGAGACTAGAAGAACATTTTCATTGTCTCTATTCCTTGAGGCTATCCTTTTAAAGTAGCTATGGGTTAAATTGATCACAATAATTTATATTACAATATAAAATGCTGACAATATGATACAAGATCTATTTTGTAAATATCCATAAGAAAGAAAATATGGTTGAACAAGTTTTGTGAAGATCTGGGATTTTTCTCTATTATCATATGGGTCCACAGTTGTCAAGGTTTTCAGCAGCCAACTCATAAAATTCAGTTGCAGTTCCAAACTATAGAGAGGATCTGAAAGAATTTAGGTAGAGTGACTCATTCTTACTCTAATAGAAATGGTGTTCATTAAAATACCAGACATACCTACAGCTCTCTTCTGTATTTCTCCCAATGATCTCAGCCTCTCAGACACACCCTGGAGTGAGCTTTTTAGAAGTAACAGCTGAGCAACCACCACTTACCTAAAAGTCTAATCCTCTGCGAACATATCCAGGAAGTCCTGCATTGGGGCATGTATTTCTAATGAGCAGCAATTCCCAAGCAACTTCTCAGCAGTTCATAGGAAATATGGGCACAATTGTTTTATCTATTAAACCAACCAAACATTCTTCCTTCCCCTAATGATTTAGTGACCTGCTTTGATGCTGCCACGCAGAGTTAATTATGAACAAAACCTAGAGTGAATGTCACAATTCAGATTTTCCTTTGTATACCCGGGAAAATAAGCATGTTTAGCATTAGTAAACCCATGTATATTTCAACCTCAGCAGGGATGGAAACCCATGAAGAGCGACAGCTAATGGTCCCTGTTAGTGACTTTGGAATCAGAAGCCTGAGCATCAGTCAACCTAATGTTTTGGCAGACAAATAGCCTAGTTTCTTTCAAGGAAGACTAAAAATGTAATCATAAACAAGAACATCCTTTCCCTCCAGGGGCTGCCACCCACTTCTTTAATTACCTTCTTCCAGTTCATCCATGCTTCCGATTTTCCTGGATCCATCGATGGTGTAAATATAGCGCACTCCCTGAGGCAGGTTGATGTTGTCGGACAAGGATCGAGTCAGGTCAGCCAGCAAGGCATCAAAACTACGGAAACGGTCAGAGGAAACAGCATACACAATCCCCTTGAAGTATCGATCCCCATTGCGGTAGAAACGTACCTTCTTGGCCTTCTTCTCATTACTTAGTGCCTGCAAGGTTCTGGTTCTGTAAAAGCTACAGTGGGCACTGTGAGTGGGACTTGGAAGCCCATTCATCCGTGTCCCTCTCATATTCCTAGATGCTTTGTCTCTTTCGTCAAAATGTCCAAAATCAAGTTCCATATTTTGTTGGAACCACAGCAACCTGATTGTTAGAGAAAGGGGTGGGGATAAGGAGAGGCAAAGAATAAAGAAGGATAAGAGAAAGAAAAAGGAATTCAGATATTAGCCAGATCCAGAGCTGCAATCTGCTGCCTGTGAAAAGAACTGGTTGAAAAAAGCCCGTGACCCATCTGCTGCTTGTCCCTGACCTGCAGGAATATTGATCTTAATAGAGAAGAAGGAGGGGGCTGGGCAGTCGAACTGGATGCTGGGGAGGGGGGGGGAGGGGGACGGGAGCAAGAGATAAAAAGGGTGGCACTTTTGGCACTGTTCCAAATTTGGGAGGAGGTGTTGAAATAGCTTAAAACCCTGGAACTTACTGACAGTGGCTCCTATCAAATTGTAACTTGGGGCAAAATACATTAAAACTGGCATCTGCTACTTCACACATGGCCACATGACTAACAGTTGTAAATAAATCCCTAGCCTGACAAAATTCCCCTTGAAGAGAAACAGGGAAGTAGCCAAGGTTAGCATCCAGTTTAGGAAGCTATCTTAGCGTCGCAATACAATGACTAGGAAGAAGGATATTTTAATTTTATTCCAAATCCTTTTTTTTCCCCACTCTAATATGTGTATCCCCTCCCCCAGAATAAACTAGGATTCTCTTTTAAAGGGACAGCCTCCAGGGAAAACCCAGTGTCTTTGTGCTATTCATCAAACCCTCTCCCGTCAAGCTGGTGCCGCTATACAGCATTCATAAGAAATAAGCTGGGATTTGAAAAGGAGGAGGAGGGTGTCGAAAAACCAGTTATTTAACAAGCTATTAGCTCGGCTTTTCCTCTTGTTTCTATTTGGTCACAGAATCCTTTTTGTCTTTTTAGATGTTTCATCCTCTCCCCACCAATGCGACACCTTTTAATGGAATAATTTAATTGTGGAAAGATTCCCAAAAGGGTCTTTGAATAGCATATGGGACCTTTACAAGAAAGTACACCTTTCATTGTTCTGATTTTCTCCCCTGACTGGAGGAACATTTTGCCCTCGCAGCAGACAATTCACTTCAAACTAGTCTATTGCCTAGGTACATTGATGGAGGCAAAAAAAAAATGGTCATCTGTCATGCTTTGATCTCCACCCTCCCCTCTCCACACATACACCTGGCTGAAGCCCTCCCCACTAGAAAAGAAAGCGCCAAAACAATGAAAACATGCAACTAAATAATACAGCCAAAGCCCTGAACGCTCACAAAGGTAATGTATCATCCAAGGAACCAAACTATTAACATTCACCTCACAGATTGGGGGAAAAAGACTCACAAAGCAAGAGGGCTCAGCTGCTACATAACAGCCACATCAAGATTTCCAAGGAACCAGGGAGACAGGAGGTAAAGGGGGACTGGTAGCTGGTGTATTTGCCCGGCTCAGTCCCCCTTTTTCCAGTGTCACCGTGACCTATGCTGAGCTCAGCATTGTCTCTGTCAGACAACCTGCAGTAGTAAGACCCCACCTCCTCAAGACAAGTATCAGGCATTTCCCCCAGGCACACTGTGCAAATAAAGCTTATGCTTTAGAATCAGAAGTGCTAAATTCTAAATTAGCATCATAGTGAAAACAAAGGAACAACAAACTCACTTTTCCAAAGGAAAATCCCAGGTAGAATCTTAGAGGACAAAAATCCTATAGAATAAAGCAAATAAAAGAAAAAAAAAAAGAAAGAGACCGACACACACAGAAAGAGTACTGTGTGCCTTGTGCTTTTCCCGTTTGACATCTGTTACATTCTGCTTGAAAATCACTCGAAAGCCCCACTCACCGGTTTTCTGCTGGATGGGTGGAGATGCTGAGAGAAAGAAAACCAATCTCTCTATGCCTTTGTTGTCTGAGCTCCAAGCAAGAAATTCCTGCCAGGGTGGATAGTTGCCTTCTAGGTCCTAGTGCCTTGTCCAGCTTTCTCCCCTGTAACTCAAGCTTAGTGAGCACCCCCAACCTCCTATGATTAATTACATGCTTTTTTCTTCAATTCACAGCCTGCATTAACAGCTAGAAAGGTTTCATTTATAACCCACAGGAAATTGCAGGGTAGGAAAAAAAAGATTGCACAGGCAAGCTCAGAATGCTCTAATGAGCGATGTGCTAGCCCTTTCTCTTAGAAAATTGGCAATTTTACTTGGCTAAAATCTTGGCCTAATCAACCTAGTGGCTACACTCAGCAAGTCAAACCAAGTTTCTTAGAAATTCCAGCTCTTCCTTTTACCTTCTTCAAAGAAAATAAAAATCAGTAACTATTTTGACATTGACCTAGTGCATACAACACTGGTTCTATGAGAATGGAAAAAATCAGGGATAGCAAATGGAAAATACACGGAGAAATACTTATAGAAATCATGAAAGCTAGAGTCAAAAAGTGGCACTCCTCCAAGTTTTTATTCAGTTGTTTTATCAAGACGGGTTCCAGCTTTGTAGTCCTGGTTGATCTGGAACTCACCATGTAGCTCAGGCTGGCCTCTAACTTGCTGAAAATTTTCTTCCCCTGCTCTGCACTAGTATTTGTCAGTACTTGGGCCACAATGCCCAGCATCTCTCCAAAAACATTTTAAGATGGTGTAGAATATTGGTTAATGGTTCACCTCCCCACTCCTGGGAATACACCCAGGAGACAATACCCTACCGTAGGGACGCGTCTGTTTATTGCTACTCTATTCATAAAAGACGGAAAATGGAAACAACCTAGATGCCCATTAACAGATGAGGAGATAATGAAACTGCAAGATATTTGCACAATTTTAATTATCCATTGGTAAAAATAGAAATTAGGAGATTTTCAAATTGAGTGGAGTTGAAAATATTATACTGAGTGAAGTATCCTAGGATGAGAGAGACAAAAGGAGTTGTTTTCTCTTGCTCAACTCCAGGATTAGAACATCTGGGGGGAGGGGAGTGAGTGAAGGTAGAGGTCATGAAACTACAAAGGAGTCTATTAGAAGGGAAATGGTTTCAAGGAAAGGGGATTGAGGTCTACTCCGCAGAATGGAATTCATCTGGTTCTATAAAACTGGCCAAAAAATGGTGTCTGTGGCAGTCATAGGCCCTAGGGAGAAACCAATTACTGTTATTTTGCTCAATGGACATATGTCAAACAACCTTCTAAATGTTTATTTTTCCACCTAAAGATTAAATGTTAAAGATCTGACTGCTCTCAATCATGGTCAGAGTGATTTCTGTTTGCACTTGTCAGTAACTAATGCAGAGATTCATAATTGGTGCATGTGCTGAGAATAGGTAACTTTTGAATGCTCAATCCTAAGTGGGCCATTTCCATCATGCCCTCCAGGGTTCAGGAAACAGCACCGAAGACGGGACTGAAAGAGTGTAAGAGCTGGTAAGCTGAGGAGTTTCTTCTGGACATGGCACTCATGAACCCACAATAGCTGTTGTTCCTTGAAGAAGACCAGTACAAGATCAGGAACTCAGCATTCCATTATGGATGGGGCAGGAGCTTAGGAGGATCTGCCTTTCCCTGAGGAGTTGTTGGCAGTTAATGGTTGCTGGGATAAAAGGACTCAGACTGTTCTCATAGTAAGACACAAAGATGCACCATAAGAATATTGATCCTCCCCCAAAGTTATCTATATATTTCAAGAAAAGTCAAATAAGAATTTTTTGAAATACCAAAAAGACATTAAAATTGTCATGATAGAATATAAGCTTTAAATATAGTGAAGATGACAGAGAAAGACTGATTATAAATCAAGATTTCACCTACCAAGATTTGTCATGAAGTTGTGGAAATGAACATAGTATAGTTACAGTATTGGCTTTGAAGACAGATCTTCGGGACCAAACAGATGCCAACATCAATAGTATGATGAAGTTTCTTTTCAGCATCCATTCCAACCTCTTTAAAGTAGTACCCTCGAATTGCAGATGTTTAAAAGATGAACACTGTTTGTTAAGAAACTTAGGTTTCCACTGGGATTGCTATGTAAAATGAGAAAAGATTCTTTTAAAATAAAGTTTTTAAAAAGAATTTTATATTCCCTACAATAAAGCAAGCAAAATATCCTGCAAAACAAGAAAAAAGAAAAGCAATAGGTTCCTCTCATTATACATATTTGCAAGAGATGTAGAATGGGGAAGCGAGGTTGAGGCTATCTTCCCAATGGTCTGATTATTCGCCCTAGCAACAAAAGTCACAGATGGCCAGGACATTGCTATAGCAGCCTTACAATATCCAATTAGCAACTTTCTGAGAATCAAAGGTCATGGCTATAAAAGAAGTAGAGGTCTGCTCCCAGGAAGTATGTCACTGCTCTTGTTGGCTCCAATGATGGCCTCTTAACTCATTCTGTCCTTAATATAATAAAGATCACAAATCCTTAGAATACCAAGGACAAGAGTGCCCTTTCTTGCAAAACTTCCTTGGTTTTATAAATATCTGATTTGTTGAATGAAATCTTTCTTCCTCTTCTCCTTCCTCTTTTCCTTATTTGTCTTCCTCACCTTCTTCTTCACTTCTCTATCTCTTGCCCCTCCTCCACTACTACTACCATACATCAATCTTCCTTTATATCGGAGCTTGGTCATTAACTCCTGATCCTTCAACCCTGACCTCATAAGGTGATTATGACATAAGTGATCCTTAGCAACAGATCACTAACGATGGATTTCTGGGATTTAGTATCTGACTACTTGTGCTTGAAGGCAAAGTTTTGACATGGCATGTGGTTGTCTCAACATAGTTTTAAGATAGGATAATGATCACATGATATTTCTGACTATTCAAGAGAGTTAATATGCCTAGGTCGAGGTTTCAAATTCTCAGCTCTCTGCATGGTTTTATGATTGGCCTAAAATAATCTTATAAGATTTGAGTCATAAATTTGTAGCCTAAAGTCGGACTCAAAGCCTAAGTTTGTGAGTGACTGAGTTACAGCATAACTTGGATTTCAGTTTCTTCCATTTTCTACCCAGATACCCACACTATTGCTTTAGTGTGTAAGCTGTGTCCTTTTTCTATAAGAATATGGTTTTCATTGAGGAGGTCTAGGTAATCTATTGAGCCTTGGGCAGTAGATTAGTACTCATCCCAAGTATACACATGGACTTTGGACTCTCATCCAACAATGTGAGATGCACTCTCACCCTGAACTCTTGGGGGAGGGTCTAGGCCCTGCCCTGTATGAAATGACAGACTATGGACACCCCCATGGAGGGCCTCACCCTCCCTGGGTAAATGAGGGGATAATGGGGGGGGTTGGGGGAAAGTCACGGGAGGAGGGGAGGAAAAGGGAGAGGGACCTGGAACTGACTTGTGAAGCAACCTTGTTTCTAATCTAAATTTAAACTGAAAAATAAATAAATAAAAATAAAAATATGGTTTTCATATCTAATAAAGTTGGTCTTGCCTTAATACAGCATCAGCTACTAAGTTTGTCCAACTAGGTGTTGTATACCTAGCTACTAGCTTGTTTTCATCTCATCCTTTACTAACCTAATGCCTCTGAACCTATAACAAGGGTTAGATCTCAGTACTACTTAGTAAGTCTTCAAATGTTGCTTCAACAAATAAACACAATCCTTAGAACCTAACCTATAGCTAACCTATACATCTGTTGGTGTTTTCTCTGTCTCAATAACTAGAAACAGCAAATAAGTCAATTTAATTCACTTGTGGATACTAAGTATATCCTTCAAACATCAACATATTCTTTTTGGGGGTGGTCTGTTTCTTTTTTTTTACTTTTTTATTTAAATTATAATCAAGCTTCTCTTACAAGTCAATCCCGGTTCCCTCTCCCTTCCATCCACCCCTGTCCCCCAACGACCCTCTATCTCTTCCCCTTTCTGCTACTCAGGGAGGGTGAGGCCTTCCATGGGAGAGCCTCAAAGTCTGTCATATCATTTGGAGAGGGACCTAGCCTGCCCCCATGAGTCAAAGCTTAGAGAGTATCCCTCTATGTGGAGTGGGCTCCCAGAGTCCATTCGTGTACGAGGTATAAATACTGATCCATTACCAGAGACTCCATATATTAAGCAAACCTCCAAACTATATCCTCCTTCAGGGGGTCTGGAACAGTCCTATGCTGGTTTCCAAGCTATCAGTCTGGGGTTCATGAGCAACCCCTTGTTCATGTATGCTGTTTCTGTAACACCAATTTATTTCTTATTTCAACTACTGTCTTATTTCAGAAGTATATTAACTCTGGGTCTTGATCATAACTTCTAGGGGACAGTGATATGTAACCACCACAGCAGGGACAGTACTGACAGGACCTAGCTGATCCAGACTATCTTTGTCACTAGGGCTTTATGACTCAACAAAACAATGGTGACCAATGTATCCATGGCAACCCAGGCTGTGGTACAGATGATAGCAAGTCCCAATAGGAGGGAGGAAAGGATGGGAGGAATGGAGGAGGGCAGAGGAGGTGGAGAAAAGGGGAAAAGGAGGGCAAGAGTGGAGAGGAAGGGGGAGGGGAAAGGAGGAAGCCATGAAAGAGAGGAAGAGTAGAGAATAGAACTATCGAAGAGTGGATAGAGAAAATGTGGTACATTTACACAATGGAGTACTATTCAGCAGAAAAAAAAACAATGGAATCCTGAAATTTGCAGGCAAATGGATGACACTAGAAGAAACCATCCTGAGTGAGGTAACCCAGTCACAAAAAGAGAAACATAGCATGTACTCTCTCATATATGGATTTTATACATAGATCTGGGGAGTGCCAGCCTACAATCCCATGGCCAGAGAGTCTGGGAAACAGAAACTTCATTCAGTGGCTGGTGGAAGAAGAGGCACA